GAGGGACGGCTCTGGCATCAAGCCGTGCAGTAGCTGACAGAGGGACGGTTCTGGCGTCAAGCCGTGCAGTAGCTGACAGAGGGACGGCTCTGGCGTCAAGCCGTGCAGTAGCTGACAGAGGGACGGCTCTGGCATCAAGCCGTGCAGTAGCTGACAGAGGGACGGCTCTGGCATCAAGCCGTGCAGTAGCTGACAGAGGGACGGTTCTGGCGTCGAGCCGTGCAGTAGCTGACAAGGGACGGCTCTGGCGTCAAGCCGTGCAGTAGCTGACAGAGGGACGGCTCTGGCATCAAGCCGTGCAGTAGCTGACAGAGGGACGGCTCTGGCATCAAGCCGTGCAGTAGCTGACAGAGGGACGGCTCTGGCGTCAAGCCGTGCAGTAGCTGACAGAGGGACGGCTCTGGCATCAAGCCGTGCAGTAGCTGACAGAGGGACGGTTCTGGCGTCGAGCCGTGCAGTAGCTGACAGAGGGACGGCTCTGGCGTCAAGCCGTGCAGTAGCTGACAGAGAGACGGCTCTGGCATCAAGCCGTGCAGTAGCTGACAGAGGGACGGCTCTGGCATCAAGCCGTGCAGTAGCTGACAGAGGGACGGCTCTGGCATCAAGCCGTGCAGTAGCTGACAGAGGGACGGCTCTGGCGTCAAGCCGTGCAGTAGCTGACAGAGGGACGGCTCTGGCGTCAAGCCGTGCAGTAGCTGACAGAGGGACGGCTCTGGCGTCAAGCCGTGCAGTAGCTGACAGAGGGACGGCTCTGGCGTCAAGCCGTGCAGTAGCTGACAGAGGACGGCTCTGGCGTCAAGCCGTGCAGTAGCTGACAGAGGGACGGCTCTGGCGTCAAGCCGTGCAGTAGCTGACAGAGGGACGGCTCTGGCGTCAAGCCGTGCAGTAGCTGACAGAGGGACGGCTCTGGCGTCAAGCCGTGCAGTAGCTGACAGAGGGACGGCTCTGGCGTCAAGCCGTGCAGTAGCTGACAGAGGGACGGCTCTGGCTCAAGCCGTGCAGTAGCTGACAGAGGGACGGCTCTGGCGTCAAGCCGTGCAGTAGCTGACAGAGGGACGGCTCTGGCCTCAAGCCGTGCAGTAGCTGACAGAGGGACGGCTCTGGCGTCAAGCCGTGCAGTAGCTGACAGAGGGACGGCTCTGGCGTCAAGCCGTGCAGTAGCTGACAGAGGGACGGCTCTGGCGTCAAGCCGTGCAGTAGCTGACAGAGGGACGGCTCTGGCGTCAAGCCGTGCAGTAGCTGACAGAGGGACGGCTCTGGCGTCAAGCCGTGCAGTAGCTGACAGAGGGACGGCTCTGGCATCAAGCCGTGCAGTAGCTGACAGAGGGACGGCTCTGGCATCAAGCCGTGCAGTAGCTGACAGAGGGACGGCTCTGGCGTCAAGCCGTGCAGTAGCTGACAGAGGGACGGCTCTGGCGTCAAGCCGTGCAGTAGCTGACAGAGGGACGGCTCTGGGTCAAGCCGTGCAGTAGCTGACAGAGGGACGGCTCTGGCATCAAGCCGTGCAGTAGCTGACAGAGGGACGGCTCTGGCATCAAGCCGTGCAGTAGCTGACAGAGGGACGGCTCTGGCGTCAAGCCGTGCAGTAGCTGACAGAGGGACGGCTCTGGCGTCAAGCCGTGCAGTAGCTGACAGAGGGACGGCTCTGGCGTCATGCCGTGCAGTAGCTGACAGAGGGACGGCTCTGGCGTCAAGCCGTGCAGTAGCTGACAGAGGGACGGCTCTGGCGTCAAGCCGTGCAGTAGCTGACAGAGGGACGGCTCTGGCATCAAGCCGTGCAGTAGCTGACAGAGGGACGGCTCTGGCGTCAAGCCGTGCAGTAGCTGACAGAGGGACGGCTCTGGCATCAAGCCGTGCAGTAGCTGACAGAGGGACGGCTCTGGCGTCAAGCCGTGCAGTAGCTGACAGAGGGACGGCTCTGGCGTCAAGCCGTGCAGTAGCTGACAGAGGGACGGCTCTGGCGTCAAGCCGTGCAGTAGCTGACAGAGGGACGGCTCTGGCGTCAAGCCGTGCAGTAGCTGACAGAGGGACGGCTCTGGCGTCAAGCCGTGCAGTAGCTGACAGAGGGACGGCTCTGGCATCAAGCCGTGCAGTAGCTGACAGAGGGACGGCTCTGGCGTCAAGCCGTGCAGTAGCTGACAGAGGGACGGCTCTGGCATCAAGCCGTGCAGTAGCTGACAGAGGGACGGCTCTGGCATCAAGCCGTGCAGTAGCTGACAGAGGGACGGCTCTGGCATCAAGCCGTGCAGTAGCTGACAGAGGGACGGCTCTGGCATCAAGCCGTGCAGTAGCTGACAGAGGGACGGCTCTGGCATCAAGCCGTGCAGTAGCTGACAGAGGGACGGCTCTGGCGTCAAGCCGTGCAGTAGCTGACAGAGGGACGGCTCTGGCATCAAGCCGTGCAGTAGCTGACAGAGGGACGGCTCTGGCGTCAAGCCGTGCAGTAGCTGACAGAGGGACGGCTCTGGCGTCAAGCCGTGCAGTAGCTGACAGAGGGACGGCTCTGGCGTCAAGCCGTGCAGTAGCTGACAGAGGGACGGCTCTGGCGTCAAGCCGTGCAGTAGCTGACAGAGGGACGGCTCTGGCGTCAAGCCGTGCAGTAGCTGACAGAGGGACGGCTCTGGCATCAAGCCGTGCAGTAGCTGACAGAGGGACGGCTCTGGCGTCAAGCCGTGCAGTAGCTGACAGAGGGACGGCTCTGGCATCAAGCCGTGCAGTAGCTGACAGAGGGACGGCTCTGGCATCAAGCCGTGCAGTAGCTGACAGAGGGACGGCTCTGGCGTCAAGCCGTGCAGTAGCTGACAGAGGGACGGCTCTGGCGTCAAGCCGTGCAGTAGCTGACAGAGGGGCTCGCGTCAAGCGGCAGAGCTGCGAGGAGTCTGGCGTCAAGCCGTGCAGTAGCTGACAGAGGGACGGCTCTGGCGTCAGCGTCGTATGCGAAGCCGTCAGGCAGTAGCTGACAGAGGGACGGCTCTGGCGTCAAGCCGTGCAGTAGCTGACAGAGGGACGGCTCTGGCATCAAGCCGTGCAGCATTTACGAGTTCAATCAACTCAGAAAATTTAAACGATATGAAAAGGCGGGTTTTCAATATTTTTTAATTTTCTGTTTGCATTTGCATTAGTTTGATCAATGTGGCAAATTTGCACCGACATAGCTTAAAATTAATACAAAATTATTATTATTATTAAAGATTAGCCGGTATTCTCCCGGCCCGGGCCTTTTCCAAGTGGTGGCCCGGCCTTGGCTCCCTCTTTAGGGAGTGTCTGAGACCTAAGTCTCCCATGGGAGGAGGCACAATATCTCCTCATCTTTGGGACCAACTGTCCCCAGGCCTAGCCACAAGCTAGGCCTCTCTGGTCTGCCATCCCCACCCCAAGGGGGCAAATGGGAATGACAGTCTTATGAGCTAAAGGCTCGGGCTCAGGCACCTACCCTACCCTAGAAGGGTTAGGCATGGTGTCGATGAATTAATACGAAAATTTAGGGTTTAAAGCTGGTCAGAAGAATCTCTCATTTATAATTACATGGGAAACAATATTCTCAGTAAAATTGGTAAACTGAAATTTACCCAGGACATAGTGAGTGACAAACTGAGTTTTAATGAAGGCCATTAATGGTAAACATTTGAAGCCAATCAGAAAATTCACTTTTCACTAATTGATCTGATTCCAACGATACCGAGATTTTTTTTAACTGTTACAACAAAATTTCAAAGTTACCCCAGTTGGGACTAAACTTATGAGTTATCTTCTGTATCATCCAGAGTCATTCATCAGTTATGGCACTGATACTAACAATCCCGTTGTTTTTTTAATATTTTTTTCTACATAAAATGTTGCCTGCACACGAACGAAACTTAATAAGTATTATCCTGGACCTAAGATGCACCAGCAAATATTTTTTGAAGTTATTTAGAAGAGGTAAACTGAAATTTATTTAAAAATTGACACTATTTTAGACATAAAACTGACCAGTCTTAACCAACATTGTTGAATTTCACTTTCTGCTGTTAACATATTTTCTGACACCTTTTTGAACCTTTGGAAGTCCTCCACCGAGGATTTTGAAAGCTATCTGAATCACCTCAGGATGTTGTGAATGTGCTCAACAACTTTGGTCATAGGGCAAGTGAACATGCCAGTTGCCTCAAGAATTTATTCCTAGTTACCATTCACAAGTGTTAAAATTTAAAGCCTACTGGATGAGGCATTCTCGAGTTATGAGCAAAATAAAAATCGAGAAGTTGAAGGAAATTAAAACAAAAAAATGTCAGGAACGTCATAAGAACACAGTTGTGGTGATACTTGATAAACCCAGAAAATGTCTTTTCTGGTTTAACCTGAGTTACTGTCCTGGTTGATAACCTGAATAAAACATGTTTCTTGTTCAGTATCTTAATGTACGTTGTAAACTTTTTCATTATGCTTGTTCTTAAACAAAATATTTTTCTTGGAAAAATATTTTCATACAGAGACAAAAAAAATATATTGAATGTATTTAGTATTATAAAATAAGCTTATTGCTTGTTCAGATGCTGTCGACTACATGAGGGAAAAGAATACGTTAATCCTTAAAATAAGAATTAAAGTAAGCAAACACTTCTCAGTGTATACTTGTTGAGAGGCGCTTTTCTGTGTCTACACTTAGAGAAACGTACACCTCTCAGTGTACATGTCCTGGATACTGATTATATCCTCTCTCAAATGACATATATTTTTAGTGTAAATCCCTTTAATATGCATTTATCCTATTTAGAGTCTACATGATTACACCATACAGTAACAATATCGGTAAATAATGATAGCGAATAACGTTAATTCAGACAAGTATACTCACAGAATATATACACCGGAAAGTGTATTTTCTATTTTGGGGGTTAAAGTATTCATGTCTGGTGGTGAAAATATTACCATGCAGCTGACTGACACGAGTGTAGTCGATAGGCATTAATCAGCATTAGCCAGTCAACCAACCAAAGCCACTATAATGAAAGTCACAATTGATTTATTACCTGGTTTGGTTTATTACAAAAGTTTATCTTTAAAAAGTTATACAGTATTGCACTTTACACCCAAAGGCTAAAACCCTAACGATTAAATCACTCAAGAGTCAAATCACCAGGAGACTAATTCACCAAGGGAACTGAATCCAGAGAACATAAAGATAGCTATTAACAAGCGACATAAACAAACTTGAACACAGCACGTCGTCATGGTATCAAGAAGTTCCTCTGATTATTATTTATTTGATTGTAAACACTCTGTAGATGGCATGAGGTTTCTGACAAACTTTGACTCTAGGCTCAGGATAGAATTAACGTGAATTTAAATGAATATTTAATATTACAGTGGATACAAGACAACTATGGCACAAGAGAAGAACGTCGACCGTCAACGCTTTCCTCCATACGTCTGTAGTCTGGGACATTCATTTCTTGGACATCTAAATGTTGTTCATTGTTGGTGATCTGTAAGTAAAGAACGGTTTGTAAATACAAGGGATTAACAGGTATAGGTCAGTGATATACATAATCAGAAAGAGGAGAAGAATCCCTGTAACAAGTGACATTTTCTAGAAGAAAGCAGTTGAAAATGAATGGTTGTCCAGGGGATATTGCTTCCTGGACAAACACTGTAAGGATATTGCAATACTGTTTATTAATAACAGGGATTACTTCTACAGTAGAGATGACATTTATGTGGGGAGGAGCAGGAACATTAGCTAGTTCAGTGGAGGACGCTCTTGCTACTTAAAGCTAGAAATAATTGGATATATGGGTGTTTGCTAGAAAATAATGGTAAATGGTACTATAAAACTGTGCAATGTAATTTGTCAGGGTTGTAATTTTGAGGATTTTTCTTTTGGCAATTGTCGGCACAATGAATTGGGATTATTGGTTAATATCGGTCGTGGCGATGTAATGTTAAGTGGTAATGGAAGCAGCAGAGATAGCAGGAGGAGGGGGAGAAGGGAGTGGGCTTCTTAGCATTTATTGCAGAAAAAAGTCAAAGCTCTGGAAACAAGACAAACTAGTTGAGATGTGTTGCATGTGGCGATATTTAGGGAATAACGAAGATGCGGAGTGGGAGTAATAGTGGGTTTTAATGTTATTGAGAAATAACCTGGAAAAGAGTGGAGGCATTAAGCATAATTTTGGCAATAACTGAAGAATCGGGACGTGCCTGTCGAGTGCCAAATTCAGGGGTTTAAAGTGTTCCACGTTGATAGAAATAACCTGGAAAAGAGGTGGGACGGCATTATATGTCCGATAAAATTTAACTGCTGCATAAACATGGGAATAAAAATTAAAGGAACACAGAGTCTGTCTGGACATGAAAACAGAGACTTCTTCGGGATGACACTGTTAAGGCTTTTAAGCACAATAACAAAGTATATCTAGGGGATTTTACTTTTAGCCAAACTGACTCGAGTTCCTTCACTGGGAATAGAGAATTAAACGACTTCGTAGAAGTAATTCAGGAGTTTTTTTTAACAGTTTATGACGGAACTAAACGAGGAGAAATAATTTGCTCGACTTGTTTGTAGCATAAAAAGGGCTTAGCGAGAGCTGCTACAAATCAAAAACATTTAACATTGAACGAAGGTATTACCAGACTTCCGGGATAATACAGTAAGGGTCTCAGGTTTTCCATCTGCAGATGGCAGTGGACTTGAGAGAACATCTGTTATGTTTAGACTGGGGGAACGAAGAGAACTGTCAGTATTACAGTTTTCTAAATACTGTACGAAGTACCAAAAGAACATATATTCCCCAAAAGAGAAATAAAGGGTTTTTCTTCTATGATAGAAAAGAAATGATCCGAAATGGATGAACAAGAGACTAAAACATCTTTTAGGGGAGAAGAAAGGAATTTATAGGGGTATCAGTAGAGAAAAGATTCACATCATGAATCAGTATATTCATATTAAAAGGGACGGTAAAAAAGAGATAGGGAAGGCTAAACGTGACTAAGAAACTAAAGTTGCAAAAAATCAAAGAATATTTCGAAAGATTTTTCCAGGAATATAGAACGAAGATTAGCGAAAAGCCGAGGGTCCATATAAAATTGACACTGGACAGCGTACCCACAATGAAAATGAAATGGGTTCGATTTATACAATTACTGCCTTTTGGTTTTCATACAAGAAGAAACAAACGAATTCCTAGTGATTAATTGCTATGGTGAACCACAGGAAAACAGATTATGTCAAATTACAGTTACTAGGAATATGATTATATTAAACAAGCTGACAGATTCATGCAAAATAAAGAGGCCGATTATGCCTAACAAATTTACTGACTTTCTTTAATAAATCTTTCAAGGTAATGGACCCGGATAAGGAGTACTATGCTGTTTACTTGTGTTTCAATAAAGTTTTTAATAAAGTCCCAAACACAAGATTGTTTGAAAAGTAGAAGGTTATGATGTAAAGAGAAACGTTTTCTCTCATAGATACTAGGTGCATAGCTGACAGATAGGCAGCAAAAAGTCTGCATAAATGGGGTAAAATTAGAATGGGGACCGATCGCAAGTGGTGTTCTACAAGAAACAAATTTAGGTCCCTTGTTATTCAAAATTTACATAAACGATCTTAACAAGGTTTCGCATTTTACGAAATGTACATCAATACATTGGCGACATGCTACAGACTGGATATAAATTCACTGGTGAACATACAGAGATACAGAGAAGGATAGAAAAAATAGATGAATAAAACACGTGTGTAATAGTTTGATATCTTTCAAGACGAGAAGTTTCGCCTACTCAGCAGGCTTCTTTAGTTAAAATACAGAGACAGCAGAAGTAGTGGTGTAGATATGAGGTAATCAGTCCTTCAGCCTTGAAGGAGAAGTAAGTTTCAGGTGGTCAGTCCCTCAGCCTTGGTATGCCTTCTGCTTCATAGCCGATGAATCTATAACTTAGAAGGAAGTTATGGATTCGTCAAGAGAAAGATAATGATTACCTCTTCTTCAACTGTCTCCAAAAAATAAGCTCTGTATTGAATTGATAAACCAACTGATTGTTGAAACATCTTCGAAATAAAGATACCCAGGTTAGTACTGTTAGTACTGTGTACTATTAAGGTTATGATCCTTGATGTTAATAAACAAATGGATTGTTATTTTAATGACACTAACAAACTATTAAGATTCAGCTGTAAGTAGCAAAATATAACTGACAAAACTCTACTTACCGTAGAAGCGTAAGCTATTATCACAAAGACAACGTAGGTAGTGAAGACGAAGAAGGCGAGAGAGCTTCCCCAAGTCACAGGATGTCTCAGTAAGCCATTGAAGATTTCGAAGAAGATTATCATCATGAGGACAGTGACCATTGTTGTCACTCTCACCCACAACCATCCCCGGACGATTTCTTGCAAATTCTGTCGACAAATGCAATAACACAGATAAAACAACCCTTAAATAACAAAAAAGGCACAATACCGTGACTGGAACAATACACAAATAACCCGCACATAGAAGAGAGGGGCTTACGACGACGTTTCGGTCCAACTTGGACCATTTACAAAGTCAGTGTGACTTTGTAAATGGTTCAAGTCGGACGTAAGCTCCTCTCTTCTATGTGCGGGTTATTTGTGTAAGGCAACCCTTGTTTGGACGACATTTTTAATATTTATTGTGAAAAATTTCTTAGTTATAATTGCTATGAAACTTTTGTATCTTGCAAATCTGTTTTAACAGTTGATGATAAAAGAAGGTATACACTGAGAGGTGTGTATCTCTAAGTGCATAATACACCGAGAAGTGTGACAAAGAGTTATATCTCGTTAAAACAAGACAATCAGAGGCAGGAAAAAGTTTACCGAAATCTCTTCAAAATCACAAGGAATCCTTTCCAATGCCAAAACAGAAAAAAAAAGTATGGATTTTCTTACCTTTGAACACAAGCTCCAGGCACTGTAGAAAATATTTTCCACAATGCCTTATATCAGTTCATATGTAATGTTGTATCTTAATCTACAATACTTCGCAAAGTGAACTACTATTGATAGATTCAGTTCACATTAAGAACTTGAGAGAATATTTGAAACTCAACGACAGAGCAACTGGCTCATAACCGAATGAAACCAAGTTCTATTGAGAGGCTGGCAGCCAGGCAGGGACGCAAGGCAAAACGTACTGAGATGTCACCTTACATCAAGGTCTGCTCACCTAAGTGTAAGCAAACACTTAGGTAGTATTACAGTAGACAGAGCTGGACTTTGAAATTAGCTGAGGATAACAGCTCTTACCCTCTGAATGAGTTGAAGGATAGTAAGTTTTTGCCTGTAAATAATATGAAATATTATTACAACTCTCAGACTGTAAATAAGCTCAGGTAGAATGACACAACCTGTGAATGAGTTTTTTGCTGAGCCTGCGAATAAGCTTTTTGCTAGTAAATGAGTTTAGAGAGAATGACACCTCTTAGCATGTAAGGTAAGTGTGATGAGGTAACCTAACAGCACTTAGCGTGTTCATTTACCTGTGTAATAAACAATTACTTACCTTGCGGATACCATGAACAAGTAAGCTGGTTAGGACGAAATTCACCACTATGAAGGGAAGCACCACCTCCATAACAGTCAAACTCTCTGTAACCAAGAGTAAATATATATATAATATATATATAATATATATATATATATAATATATATATATATATTATATATATATATATATATATATATATATATATATATATATATATATATATTATATATTATTATTATTTTATTAATAACACATCGGCCGATCCCACCAAGGCAGGGTGGCCCGAAAAAGAAAAACTTTCATCATCATTCACTCCATCACTGTCTTGCCAGAGAGGTGCTTTACACTACAGTTATAAAACTGCAACATTAACACCACTCCTTTAGAGTGCAGACACTGTACTTCCCATCTCCAGGACTCAAGTCCGGCCTGCCGGTTTCCCTGAATCCCTTCATGTTACTTTGCTCACACTACAACAGCACGTCAAGTATTAAAAACCATTTGTCTCCATTCACTCCTATCAAATAGGCTCACGCATGCTTGCTAGAAGTCCAAGCCCCTCGCACACAAAACCTCCTTTACCACTTCCCTCCAACCCTTCCTAGGCCGACACCTACCCGCCTTCCCTCCACTATAGAAGTCATTCTGTTTTGTTCCATTCTCTCTACATGTCCGAACCACCTCAACAACCCCTCCTCAGCCCTCTGGATAATAGTTTTGGTAATCCCACGCCTTCTCCTAATTTCCAAACTACGAATTGTCTGCATTATATTCACACCATACATGGCCCTCAGACATGACATCTCCACTGCCTCCAGCCTCTTCCTCGTTGCAACATTCATCACCCATGCTTCACACCCATACAAGTGTGTTGGTACAACTATACTCTCACATATTCCCATCTTTGTTTCCACAGACAAAGTTCTTTGTCTCCACAGACTCCTAAGTGTACCACTCCCTCTTTTCCCTTCATCAATTCTATGATTCGCCTCATCCTTCATAGACCCATCTGCTGACACGTCCACTCCTAAATATCTGAATACATTCACCTCCTCCATACTCTCTCCCTCCAATCTGATATCTAATCTTTCGTCACCTAATCTTTTTGTTGTTCTCATCACCTTACTCTTTCCTATATTCACTTTCAATTTTCTTCTTTTACATACCTTACCAAATTCATCCATCAACCTCTGCAACTTCTCTTCAGAATCTCCCAAAAGCACAGTGTCATCACAAAAACCTCTCTAGCTTTATCTAAATACTGCTCACCTCTTTGTTTCACTGTAAATACTTAGTCTACACACCCCCTACCTTTCCTAAAGCCTCCTTGTTCATCTGCTATCCTATTCTCCGCCTTACTCTTAATTCTTTCATTAATAAATCTACAATACACTTTACCAGGTATACTCAACAGACTTATTCCCCTACAATTTTTGCACTCTCTTTTGTCCCCTTTGCCTTTATACAAAGGAACTATGCATGCTCTCTGCCAATCCCAAGGTACCTTACCCTCTTCCATACATTTATTAAATAATAGCACCAACCACTCCAAAACTATATCCCCCCCCCTGCTTTTAACATTTCTATCTTTATCCCGTCAATCCCAGCTGCTTTACACCCTTTCGTTCTACCCACTGCCTCACGAACTTCGCCCACACTCACAACTGTCTCTTCCTCACTCCTACGAGATGTTATTCTCCTTGCCCTATACATGAAATCACAGCTTCCCTATCTTCATCAACATTTAACAATTCCTCAAAATATTCCCTCCAATTCCTGATACCTCTAACTCTCCATTTAATAATTCTCCTCTCTTATTTTTAATTGTCAAATCCATTTGTTCCCTAGGCTTCCTCAACTTATTAATCTCACTCCAAAATTTTTTCTTATTTTCAATAAAATTTGTTGATAACATCTCACCCACTCTCTCATTTGCTCTCTTTTTACATTGCTTCACCACTCTCTTAACCTCTCTTTTTCTTTCCATATACTCTACTCTCCTTCCATCACTTCTACTTTGTAAAAACCTCTCATATGCTAACTTTTTCTCCCATACTACTCTCTTTACATCAATATTCCACCAATCGCTCTTCTTCCCTCCCGCACCCACCTTCCTGTAACCACAAACTTCTGCTGAACACTCTAACACTACACTTTTAAACCTACCCCATACATCTTCGACTCCATTGCCTATACTCTCACTAGCCCATCTATCCTCCAATAGTTGTTTATATCTTACCCTAACTGCCTCCTCTTTTAGTTTATACACCTTCACCTCTCTCTTACTTGCTGCTTCTATTTTCCTTGTATCCCATCTACCTTTTACTCTCACTATAGCTACAACTAAAAAGTTATCTTATATATCTGTGGCCCCTCTTTAAGCATGTACATCCTGAAGACTACTCAACATATTTCACCTACCAATACATAGTCCAGCAAACTGCTGTCATTTCGCCCTACATCATATCTTGTATACTTATTTATCCTTTTTTTCTTAAAACACGTATTACTTATAACTAAACCCCTTTCTAAACAAAGTTCAATCAAAGGGCTCCCATTATCATTTACACTTGGCACCCCAAACTTACCTACCACACCCCCTCTAAGTGTTTCTCCTACTTTAGCATTTAGGTCCCCTACCACAACTACTCTCTCAATTGGTTCAAAGGTTCCTATGCATTCGCTTAACATCTCCCAAAATCTCTCTCTCTCCTCTACACTCCTCTTTTCTCCAGGTGCATACACGCTTATTATGACCCACTTTTCACATCCGACCCTTAATTTAAGCCACATAATCCTTGAATTTACACATTTATATTCCCTCTTCTCCTTCCATAACTGGTCCATCAACATTATTGGTACCCCTTCCTAAGTTCTAACTCTTTCAGATACTCCTGACTTAATCAAATTTATTTCTCCCCACTGAAACTCCCCCACCCCCTTCAGCTTTGTTTCACTTAGGGCCAGGACATCCAATTTCTTTTCATTCATAACATAAGCTATAATCTCTTTCGTATCATCCGCACTACATCCACGCACATTCAAGCATCACAGTTTTATAAAGTTTTTCTTCTTCTTATTTTTAGTAAATGTGTACAAGAGAAGGGGTTACTAGCCCATTGCTCCCGGCACTTTAGTCGCCTCATACGACGCGCATGGCTTATGGAGGAAAGATTCTTTTCCACTTCCCCATGGACAATAGAGAGAAAAAAAAACAAGAACAAGAGCTATCAAGAAAAAGAAGATAAACTCTAGATGTGTGTGTATATAATACATACATGTGCTTGCCTGTGTAGTGTCACATAAGTGTAAGTAGGAGTAGCAAGATATACCTGTTATGCAGAGTGCTTATGAGACAGAAAAAAGACACCATATATATATATATATATATATATATATATATGGTTAGAGGTAGTAGGTTGGTAGACAGCAACCACCCAGGGAAGTACTACCGTCCTGCCAGATGACTGTGAAACAAAAACCTGTAACTGTTTTGCATGATGGTAGGATTGCTGGTTTCTTTTTCTGTCTCATAAACACGCTAAGATAACAGGGATATCTTGCTACTCCTACTTACACTTTGGTCACACTTCACAGACACGCACATGCATATATATATATACATACATCTAGGTTTTTCTCCTTTTTCTAAATAGCTCTTGTTCTTTTTTATTTCTTCTATTGTCCATGGGGAAGTGGAAAAGAATCTTTCCTCCGTAAGCCATGCGTGTCGTATGAGGCGACTAAAATGCCGGGAGCAATGGGCTAGTAACCCCTTCTCCTGTATACAATTACTAAAAAGAGAAGAAGAAAAACTTTATAAAACTGGGTTGCTTAAATGTGCGTGGATGTAGTGCGGATGACAAGAAACAGATGATTGCTGATGTTATGAATGAAAAGAAGTTGGATGTCCTGGCCCTAAGCGAAACAAAGCTGAAGGGGTAGGAGAGTTTCAGTGGGGGAAATAAATGGGAATTAAATCTGGAGTATCTGAGAGAGTTAGAGCAAAGGAAGGGGTAGCAGTAATGTTAAATGATCAGTTATGGAAGGAGAAAAGAGAATATGAATGTGTAAATTCAAGAATTATGTGGATTAAAGTAAAGGTTGGATGCGAGAAGTGGGTCATAATAAGCGTGTATGCACCTGGAGAAGAGAGGAATGCAGAGGAGAGAGAGAGATTTTGGAGATGTTAAGTGAATGTATAGGAGCCTTTGAACCAAGTGAGAGAGTAATTGTGGTAGGGGAATTGAATGCTAAAGTAGGAGAAACTTTTAGAGAGGGTGTGGTAGGTAAGTTTGGGGTGCCAGGTGTAAATGATAATGGGAGCCCTTTGATTGAACTTTGTATAGAAAGGGGTTTAGTTATAGGTAATACATATTTTAAGAAAAAGAGGATAAATAAGTATACACGATATGATGTAGGGCGAAATGACAGTAGTTTGTTGGATTATGTATTGGTAGATAAAAGACTGTTGAGTAGACTTCAGGATGTACATGTTTATAGAGGGGCCACAGATATATCAGATCACTTTCTAGTTGTAGCTACACTGAGAGTAAAAGGTAGATGGGATACAAGGAGAATAGAAGCATCAGGGAAGAGAGAGGTGAAGGTTTATAAACTAAAAGAGGAGGCAGTTAGGGTAAGATATAAACAGCTATTGGAGGATAGATGGGCTAATGAGGCATAGGCAATGGGGTCGAAGAGGTATGGGGTAGGTTTAAAAATGTAGTGTTAGAGTGTTCAGCAGAAGTTTGTGGTTACAGGAAAGTGGGTGCAGGAGGGAAGAGGAGCGATTGTGGAATGATGATGTAAAGAGAGTAGTAAGGGAGAAAAAGTTAGCATATGAGAAGTTTTTACAAAGTAGAAGTGATGCAAGGAGGGAAGAGTATATGGAGAAAAAAGAGAGAAGTTAGAGAGTGGTGAAGCAATGTAAAAAGAGAGCAAATGAGAGGTGGGTGAGATGTTATCAACAAATTTTGTTGAAAATAAGAAAAAGTTTTGGAGTGAGATTAACAAGTTAAGAAAGCCTAGAGAACAAATGGATTTGTCAGTTAAAAATAGGAGAGGAGAGTTATTAAATGGAGAGTTAGAGGTATTGGGAAGATGGAAGGAATATTTTGAGGAATTGTTAAATGTTGATGAAGATAGGGAAGCTGTGATTTCGTGTATAGGGCAAGGAGGAATAACATCTTGTAGGAGTGAGGAAGAGCCAGTTGTGAGTGTGGGGGAAGTTCGTGAGGCAGTAGGTAAAATGAAAGGGGGGTAAGGCAGCCGGGATTGATGGGATAAAGATAGAAATGTTAAAAGCAGGTGGGGATATAGTTTTGGAGGGGTTGGTGCAATTATTTAATAAATGTATGGAAGAGGGTAAGGTACCTAGGGATTGGCAGAGAGCATGCATAGTTCCTTTGTATAAAGGCAAAGGGGATAAAAGAGAGTGCAAAATTATAGGGGGATAAGTCTGTTGAGTGTACCTGGTAAAGTGTATGGTAGAGTTATAATTGAAAGAATTAAGAGTAAGACGGAGAATAGGATAGCAGATGAACAAGGAGGCTTTAGGAAAGGTAGGGGGTGTGTGGACCAGGTGTTTACAGTGAAACATATAAGTGAACAGCATTTAGATAAGGCTAAAGAGGTCTTTGTGGCATTTATGGATTTGGAAAAGGCGTATGACAGGGTGGATAGGGGGGCAATGTGGAGATGTTGCAAGTGTATGGTGTAGGAGGTAGGTTACTGAAGCAGTGAGAGTTTTTACGAGGATAGTGAGGCTCAAGTTAGAGTATGTAGGAAAGAGGGAAATTTTTCCAGTAAAAGTAGGCCTTAGACAAAGGGTGTGTGATGTCACCGTGGTTGTTTATATATTTATAGATGGGGTTGTAAGAGAAGTAAATGCGAGGGTCTTTGGGAAGAGGCGTGGAGTTAAAAGATAAAGAATCACACACAAAGTGGGAGTTGTCACAGCTGCTCTTTGCTGATGACACTGTGCTCTTGGGAGATTCTGAAGAGAAGTTGCAGAGATTGGTGGATGAATTTGGTTTGGGTGTGCAAAAGAAGAAAATTAAAGGTGAATACAGGAAAGAGTAAGGTTATGAGGATAACAAAAAGTTGTGATGAAAGATTGAAATCAGTTGGGGGAGGAGTATGGAGGAGGGGGAAACGATTCAGATTTTGGGGAGGGACGTGTCAGCGGATGGGTCTATGAAAAGAGAGGTGAATCATAGAATTGATGAGGGAAAAAGAAGGGTGGTGCCTTAGGAGTCTGTGGAGCAAAGAATTTTGTCTTGGAGGAAAAGAGGGGAATGTATGAGGTTTTTTTTACCAACGCTCTTAATGGGTGTTGAAGGTGGGTGATGAATGTTGCGCGGGAAAAGGCTGGAGGCAGGGAGAGTCGTCTGAGGGCAATGTTGGTTGGGAATATAAAGCAGAGAATTTGTAGTTTGGAAGTTAGGGGAGGGTGCGGGGTTACAAAAAATGTTGTCCAGAGGGCCGAGGAAGGGTTTTGGGTGGTTCGGTTGAGAGAATGGAGCGAAAGAATGCTTCAAGGTGTATCAGTTTAGTGGGAAAGGAGGCGGGGTGGGGTCGGCCCCGGAAGGGTTGGGGGAGGGGGTAAAGGAGGTTTTTTGTGCGAGGGGCTTGGATTCCAGCAGGCGCGTGGGGGGTGTTTTTGGAGTGAAGGAAAACAAAAGGTTTTTAAAACTTACGTGCGTTGGAGTGTGAGCAAAGTAACTTTTGAAGGGGTTCAGGGAAAAAGGCAGGCCGGCTTGAGTCCCGGAGATGGGAATCAGGCCCGCCCCTGAAGGAGGGGGTGTTAAGTTGAGTTTAAAAACTGTGTGTAAAAAACACCCTTCTGGCAAGACAGTGATGGAGTGAATGTGGTGAAAAATTTTTCTTTTTCGGGCCACCTGCCCTTTGGGGGGAATCGGCCGGGTGATAATAATAAATAATAAATATATATATATATATATATTATTATTATATTATTATTTTTTATATATATTTTATATTTAATATTATAATGTTGTAGGTAGTAGGGTTTGGGAGACAGCAACACCAGGGGGGTACTACCCTCCTGCCAAAGGGGTGTAAACGAAAGCCCCGTAAATTTTTTTACATGATGGTTTGGATTGCTGGTGTCTTTTGTCTTTCTCATAAATATGCAAGATTACAGGAAAGTCTTGCTACTTCTACTTACACTTAGGTCACACTACATATGTGTACAAGCATATATATACACATCCCTCTGGGTTTTCTTCTATTTTCTTTCTAATTCTTGTTCTTGTTTATTTCCTCTTACCTCCATGGGGAAGTGGAACAGAATTCTTCCTCTGCAAGCCATGCGTGTCGTAAGAGGCGACTAAAATGCCGGGAGCAAGGGGCTAGTAACCCCTTCTCCTGTATATATTACTAAATTTAAAAGGAGAAACTTTAGTTTTTTCTTTTGGGCCACCCGCCTCGGTGGGATACGGCTGGTATGTTGAAAGAAGAAGAATATATATAATGTATATACGGTTAACAATTAGCAAGCGGGAGAAATTATTTGCCTATCAAGAGTAAGCAACTAATCACCTTAAAACTATTGGTTCCACTATTTTTAGTGTTATATTTTTCTGTATTCGACTGAAAAAGCCTGCTACGCAGGTGATATGTTTCTACAATAAAAAAGAAGCAAGGTGTTTCACATGTGTATTATTCCTCAACATATATTAAGCAGTATTTGAATATTGTAAACATTATTATTATTATATTATTAATTATTATTATTTTTTATTATTATTATTATTATTATTATTATTATTATTATTATACTGCTGGAAACTTACTTTCTACAATCTCTATAAAGATAAGAATGCCAGTCGCCACAGCCAGAAGTACCTGTAAGATACAATGGTGAAAGTGAACACAGAGGGATGAATATGAATGCACTGGGATGAAAGTGAACTCATGGAAGTGAAAATGAACATACTTGAATAAAAGTAAACACAAGCATTAAATTCATCTCAGAC